TTCACTATAGCCGGAATAGAGCATACTCAGTCAAGCTCGAGACCTACAGTTCAGTTTCATGCGCCAGAACAGCTCGCATCCTTCGTTGCACAAAAAGAAAGTCATTACCAACTAGAATCTGACCAAACCACACCTATTGCGGTGTCGCCATTGAGAGCACAGCCATCTCAAACCCGAACACAGGAGGCTCGGAAGCAACTCTTACAGGTTGCCAGGTACCAGAAGCCTACGTAGTGAATGATGTCGCAGGCGCCTCTGCTGTTCCTCCAGTCAAATCTGTCCCACCAACTTCGCTACCTGAAAAGCGTTGCAACAGCTACCAACTGGACACTACGTCCAATTCCCAAGAAAAGCATTGTCCTATTCCAAACAGGCTGTCACCTCAACATTTTCGCAACATCAGCAAGGCCAGCACACTAAATTAGGCCAGGTTGAGCGCCTTGTTATTTGACACGGACAGCTATAGACACTGGAAGAACACACACGGCGTCAAGAAAGACGTTAACAAACGACTCAACCAAAGCGACAACGTATTCAAGATGTCTCACTTGAGACAAAGAAAGCATCAAATCCCAGACATTTTCCCAAGGGACGTCGAGTAAGTTTTCTTCAGCAGAGATCAAGACGGAGCCTACGATCAAAGCGATTGAAACACCAAGAGACAAAACAACACAAACGGTGCAAAACCACACTCTGTTTTTCAGAAAAAAGCAGGCATCGCCCCGTTAGCCAACGACTACACAAACTGGCAGTGCCCCGAGTATACCATTCACGACAAAGAACACGACGTGTGCGAAACTCGAGCCATGAGTGTACCAACGCATTCCACTCTAGTTTATTCCTCGTAAGATTTGCTTTGTCGTCACCATTTCCTGCCTTCAAGCCATACTTCTGTTGGCCAGTACGTAACAGTCGGCTTCGTCCACCAGAACTCCAGCACTTACCGGACAGTTGCACTCTCCTGTGAAGCTATAGTGTGTTTACGGAACTTTCCTGGGACATGGAACGATTACCCCTTTTTGACAGTGTTCACTTCTAAGCCATGTATGCTCAGTTTTCGTTTCTGTTCGTCTGACGTGTGACGCGATTTCTTTCGGGGAGTCGGGGAGAGGGAGAATCATGTGACGTATAAAGCAATGGCTGGTAGAGGCCGAGAAGAAAGAGGTGCTTAGGAAAAAAATGGCGTATGCGCCAGGCCACATCTCCCGCATCTAGCGACACACACACACACACACACACACACACACACACACACACCACACACACACACACACACACACACACACACACATATATATATATATATATATATATATATATATATATATAATATATATATATATATATATATATATATATATATATATATATATATATATATATATATATATATATATATATATATATAATAAAGGAAGCAAGATCGGCGCTGCTACGTGGGCGCGAGCTCGCCTTGCGAAAGGATGAAGAGAACGAGAAAGTCAGAAAAGGAACAGCCGGCTGACAGCAAGAGTGCAGTGTCTTGTGTATAGTTCTTCATTACAGTGTATATAGCTCAAATCATGAATGGTGGAAAGGAATATAACAGCTGCATCATACTAGTACTTACCAACGGAGCAAAAACTTCCTGGAGGATTAAAAACAGGGTTTAACTGAAGTTGAGGGCGACGCAGCAAGCAATGGAGATGCAAATGATAGGTGTAACAGTGACAGTTGGACGAGTTTGTGTGGGTTCATAGTTAAAAACGGCGCAAAAAAAAAACGCGGGACGCAAAAAGATGACAACAAGACGACGGGCGAGGAGGGAACATGAAGTGCATCAGGGAACAAACAGATGTTAAGGACATCATAGTTGAACTCAACAAGAAGGAAAGAAATAAGCGCGAAGACAGGGAACAAGAAGAAGAAATGGCCATGGGCAGGGCACGTAGCGTGAAGGCAAGATAACCACTGGACATCAAAGATCAGAGACTTGATTCCGAGAAAGAAAAGGTAAGCGCGTGAAGTGGAGACAGAAAGTTTGGTTGGCAGACGAGTTAGGAAGTTGGTGACTTTGTGTGGCAGCAGCATGTATAGGACCGAGTTCACTGGCTGAAAATAGGAGAGGCCTTTGTTCTGCAGTGGGCGTAGTCAGGCTGATGTAGATGATGATTACGATACTATGAACTCACACTTGCTAGTAAAAAGTTCATAAAAGGAGAAAAAAACTTGGCATATTTTCAGTTTGTAAGCAATGGCCATGGTTTACATCGGCTAGATGTTGACATTGGCGCTTTGAACATCCATAGCTGCATTTTATTTTTGAAGTAAACAATCCTGAGAGCGTACGTGTTTTTCTTCCGAGTTGTATTTTGCTCAATTTACGCCAATTTGAGATGACAACAACTAGAGCTTCTGTCAGTTCAGTCTCTTTAGTCCAGAATACCCAATTCATGGGATTCAATGCCGGTTTTGGAGCCCAAACTTTCGCAATCCTTGCGGCCTGTGTGCTCACATTTGGTGCACGTGAAAGAACCACAGATGGTCCCAATTTTTGGAGCCCTGCAGTAAGGAGTCCTTCAGTATTATATAAGAGACTTAGGACTTGAAACCTCAATAATCTTTAGCTCAGAAAATTGTGGGCCATTACTCTTTCCCTGGCATGGTCGATCAAAGTGCGGGGCAAGCTTGAAAGGTACAGGCTTCCCTCTGTATTCTAGTCTACTACTTTATTCTTCGGCATGTTCCAAGCCACTATGATAGCTGCAGGCTGCCATATTTTAAGAAGACCAGATTTTAGATTTTTTTAAGTATGTTGTCAAGGTGAAGCAGGTTCATCGGAAACTGGAGCAGAAATATTCTTTTTCTCCCCCTTGCAGCTCAACTAAAACTCTCAACAGTGCCGCACATTCATCATCTGTTCATAGCAAATTGATCATAGAGCATCAGTGATGCTATTCTTTTCTGAAGAGTGAAAAAAATTTTCCTGAAAAAAAAGAGCCTTTAATCAGTCTGTAAAACGTTTATTGGTTACAGCCTGTACTTGTGTCATCGATTATGTAAATTTTAAGCCAGACGGAGCTGAATGAAAGCAAGACACAGATATTCCACTCTTAAAGCCCCTCTTCAGCGTTAGCACTCTCAGCAATTCATTCTGCAGCGCAAGCAGCGAAAGCGTCAGCTAGGCAGCCTGCACCACAGAAAACCTACAATGCGTCGTCCTGAGAGACAGGAGACAATCTCCACAGCACACGTGGAAACGAAATGTCTTAATATAATTAACTACTCTGTAGAAGTTGTGTGTCACTTCAATTTTTGTTGCCCCAGTGTGCAGTCGACACTGACCACTGTCGAAAGTGAAAGTCCACCCTCTTAACTTTTCTCTGTGGGTGGGGGGTGGGGGAGGGTTGCAAGTACTACCCTTGCCATCCTGGCAGATGCGCCTATGTTATGATTCGTAGATTAACGCTGTCATATAGGCTGATGGCTGCGTGGCCACCCAGCAGCATTTGCGGGTCACAGCGAACCAATTAGTCACAATCTCTTGAAGCAATATCAACTTTCATATAAATATTATAGAACATTCGAACTCATTCATGCTGTATTTGCAACTGCCTAACATGCCAGCTACGTGTAAGTCGACTTGCGTTAGGAGTAGATGTTAAATGCTTCATATGACCATCAAGAAAGAAGATAATATTTTTTCCAGGCCACTCAGTGAAAAAGCTGACGTGTGCACTGAATATAGGGTCATAAGCACACAGTTATATCAACAGTGGTGACTTTAGCTAGGGCATTTCAATCAAACAAGTAAGGTAGTAAAAGATGTTGCACCTCCACATAAGATTTATTTGCATGGTTTCTTGGTTGACTTTCTACAGCCAGAACAAAGGCAAGCACCGTTACCGCTTCCACCACAGTATCCCTCACTAAACTCTTTCTTCTTGCAGTGATGGTTGCAAACCATACCAAGAAGTGGACAGCCATAGGCATCCCCTGTAAAAATAATTATTCTTTCACAAGTGACACAAGTATTACTAATTTACTTTGTTTTCCTCAGTACCAGAAATTACATGCCAGTAAGTGGTAAAGAAAGAAAGAGATAAAAAGACAGGGCAGGTAACACATTTTGTAAAATCTCTAGGTTTAACGCCGTTAAGTGGGTGAATGACGAGATAATTGGTCTTGTTTTGATAATATCCTGTTGTTGGTCAACAATGCTGTCAATATAAAAAAATATAAAGGTGCACAGCTTCACTCATACAATTACGCAAATGAGTAACATTAAAGTAAAGAGCAGGAAACTACAGCGAAAAAAATTACAGTCTCGTCGCAGTGGTGAAACAATAAATGCGGTGAGCGTGGCTATGATGAAACGACGCTGAGGTTGTCCATACAGTTGTCGTTAGAACTAAATGGGGCACTGGTGATACTTTTTTTAAAGAACTTTAAATAATCAACGTAAAAGCCGGGAGCAGGAAGAACCGAGAATCGGGAAAAAGGGGAAAAAAAGCAGATTAACTGTACCGTGGGAATTGACGCTATGTGAAGTATGCGGCGGGAAGGCGACTGTGGTACAAAATTTAAACCCTTCGTTATAATGGTGTCATCTATTGGCACATTCTGAGCACTTCCAGCAGCACTTTTCTGCCACTTGCAGAGAAAGTGTGTTCTCTTAGCTGATTCAGAGTGCTTCCTGTATGTTCCATGGGTATTTTCGGAGCAGATCCATTGCGAGATACACTCCACGGAGCAACTTTCTCTATCTGTGAAAAGCGGTGGATTCGCAGGAAGTTGAAAGCGCCCTGTGCCATGGAATGGTGCCAGCTGTGGGCGCACCAGCAGATGCCGGTAGTGTCGGTGGCGCCTCGCATCACACAATACAGCGATCGCGCTTTGCTATATACGTACCCATTATACAAAGACAAGGCTGGCGAACACGGACAGAAAATGGAAGTCGGGACGCTACAAACACCAACTAACAATTCAAGCTGCTCACAATGGCGTTGTACTTACTTTGTACATATACCAATTTAGCGTTCACAGAAGTTCTGTCCAGAAAAGCTGCAAAGATACCATACAAAGTGATTGATCACAACAAGCCCTCCTGTACCTATTACTTATAACATAAATAATAGATCCTTAAGTCTAGCTAAAATAAAAATGGCTTATTTATAGTACAAACACATTTTTAAATGGCATATACATCGGAACAAAACATACGAAAGCACATAATTATAAGGCCACCAAAAACTTTGCTCAGTATTGTATAATTAGCAATGACCCAATTTTCCGGCTATCAACCTGTGGAGAAACATACGTAAGATTGCATTCAAAATTTGTATTTGCTAGCATAACCGGTACACTCAACTTGTAGAATGAGTTTCATCAGCACTTGTGACTGCTTTGGGGCCTCTGGCTGGTAAACCTTTGTATAGCCAGAGACCGTATTTATCTTACGCATGCCTTCCGGCAGCAGACTATACAGATGCTCATGGTTGCCAAATCCTAAAAGAAAGCTTAGAACTTTTCAAATAAAAAGTGCGTTTCAGTACTCCGTCAACGGATTAAAGAGGCGGGTATATTGCACCTTTGTATCATTGCAGACGTTGGTCCCAAGATTGACTCATATCCCTAATTGCGCTGGTCTACGCATAGCTCATGGCAAATGCGGGCTGAACGGGTAGATTAACTTTGTACGTCGCTTGTAGCTGCTGAGTAGTTGCACGATTTGCACTGTTTTAGCTTACGCGGGGAGAAGGTTTGTAATCATCGGTGAACTTCATACCGCGAACTCGAAAAGATTCACCGAGCAAAACAAATTATATCCACACGTTTCAACTTCACACGCGAGCCTTGCTCACAATAAAATTCAAGGAGTTTCACAGCGTGTTTGTGTATGCCGTAGGACGCAAATTAATCATTGAAAATGTGATTGAAGCATTCTTCGGCATCACTGGTGGCAGTCCGCATTGTAGATGCGTCGGTGAAGTATGTGATTTTAAACAGCGAAATGATGGGCTTGATGACGCAATGCATGAGTGATTGTTGTTGCCGCGAATCACTGAGCAAGACTATCAGCAAAGCGATCCATTTGTATTTGCGCTTTGTGTAGTGTTGAACTGATGATCTTTGCTTCGATGCAAGAAACAGCAAAGTGGCATATGAAGCAGTGAACATTGTTGTCAAGCAAAGAGGAACCATAGTGTGCATCTGTGTCAGCATGTTGGTGGTCGTGGAGCTACAGCAAGCGGGTGTTGTAGTCATGAAGGCAAAGCGCTCAACGGGCGGGATGGACTGAGGGATCCTTCAGTGATGACAACCAGCACAATACATGATGGTCGGTGATGACATCAAAATGGTGACCACATAAATTATGCTGGCACTTCGTGGGGGCTCTAATATTCTCCTGGCGTTTTTTGTAACGGTGTAATTGATCTCAGCTTTGCAAAGCGTACGCCTTGCTTATTGCCACCTGTCATCATTATCATAGGCCTCACTGCACCCACTGCAAACAAAAAGCGTCTCCCATGTTCCTCCAATTAACCCAATGCCGTCATTTTTCTGCCAACTTATACCTACAAACTTCTTATTCGCATCGGTCCACCTAATGTTCTGTCCACCTGCTATGCGCTTACCTTCTCTTGAAATACAGTCAGGTGATACGTGCCTGGCCCATGTTCATTTCGTTCTGTCCACCTACTATGCGCTTACGTTCTCTTGAAATACAGTCAGGCGATACGTGCCTAGCCCATGTTCATTTCTACTTCTTGATTGAAACTATAGGATATCCTCAACCCTCATTTGTTCTCTGACCCCCTCTGCTCTCTCAGTTTCTCCTAAAGGGATATTGAACTATAGTTTTGCTGCCAATGTTTTCAACCCAATAGACCAATTCGGTCCTTAAATCGATAGGGACAACCTTGATACCTGGCAGAAACTACAGAAAACTAAAGAATTCAATGCATTTTTCCTGCAACTGCCGCGTCAAGCGGCAATTTAGAAAGCAGGTACAAACAGCACCAGTGGAGAGAAATTATATCGGCTGGTGTAAAGCTTCAGCGCTTTTCTGAAAGAGGCATAATGGGGTAAAATGAGACTTGGAGAAAAGGAAGAGGTACGACAGGAATTTACTAAATTCCGATGTCGGGTCCACCCCCCCCCCCCTAAACCTGTATCTACACAGAGCTGGTCAGACAATATCAGCACTCTGCGCATTCTGCGGAGAAATGGAATTACTAGAACATTATTTTTTGTATTGTCGCCAATACGCCATAGTTCAAAAAAGGTTTCTAGTTATTCCATTTCTGAAAATAGGCGTTAGATTGACAGCGGAAACTGCACTAAGCTTTGGTGCCTCAGTTTAGGGTCATTGCCACAGGGACGGTTTCAATGCCGTTTGCCATTATATTCTGGCATCCAAAAGTATACCTTTGTAATCTTCGATCAAATAATTTTTATTTATTACTCCTCCCGAAAAATTCTAAATGGCAAAGTAAAGTAAACGCAGCCGAGTGGTAAACACAACACCTGAAATCTCAGAACTTCTCAACTTGACTTTTCTATTTTTTTTCTCGTTTGCTCTTTTTTATGTGGTTGTCCTTATCTTATCATATTATAATACAAATTCATTACACATAGTTAAAATGATCACAGAAAAACTGCACTACGCTTTCTTGTCCAATCCCCCTGAGTGGGTATGAGCCATCAGTCCGGAGAAACAAACAAACAAACAAACAAACAAACAAAAACGGGGATGCTGCATGCGCCCAATGAGAATTAAAAATTGTTGGAGCAGAAATTATTGTCTTGGAGTGAAGCCGTGCCTCAGGTAAGATGGCGACTGCAGTGGCCATCTTTCTAGAGGCATGATAAAGTATCACCGTTAAGTGATTAGGACAGGGAAGTTTATTGCGAACTGGTAGCAACATTATTGGTGAGTACAACTGTCTGGTGTAACAAGATCACTTCAGTGGCGTGTACAAGGAAGAGAACTCAGACATGATGTTACACACAGCACTTTAATATTCTCACAGACCACGAATCACTCAAGAAAACAAAGCGAAAAACAAACCCAAAAAGCACTAAGTTTTAACAGACTCACATATTACGTGCGACCAGAAGCAATTTTTTCCCGAGTTAGAACGGCAGTAAAGGAAACTCAATATTCCCATTCCGAACTCCAAAAAAAAAAAAAACGTGTATGCTACCTTCTGATGAAGGCTTGCTCACCCTGCGTTTCAATATGTTCGGTAAGGTACCTAACCACGACTATTTTAGTCTTTAGTAACGCTGGGTATGCAGCTCGTTGGGGTCGTCGCCGTGCTTCGGCCACAGAGCTGCGACGCCACAAGACGAACATTGTGACGTACAGTATGAGTTGTTGAAATAAGCCCCTTCTGCGCTCTCGGCCTAAAAGAATTGACACTCCCAATTTACGACGTATGACGTACCACCCGCCTTTGGCCGCTACGCATTCAAACATCGTGTTGCGAATCATTCTCTTTTTCCCGCAGTTGGAGCAGTGGTCATTGGGAACGACGCCCCACTTTGACAGTCTCTGACTAGTGGGCAACGCATCCCACTGCTGCAGCCAATCGAATTCTTCAACTATTCCCGATACGTGGTTGTTGCGCCATTTCTTCCACTTGCTGGGCCTCCATCTCTGTTTTTTCACTTCAGTAATTGAACGACTGAATAACATTTTGCTATTGCGTGCAGGTGCTAGCTTTGCAAAGTTTTCTTCGGCGGCATCACAATCAACTGAGCGCTTCAGGCCCTCTGTTGCTTTATAAAAAGCATGTGGGTGTTCTGCTTGAGGCCGTCGGTACCTTTCCGACAGGAATGCGGCTCCAAGAGGTCCTGTCCAATATAGCATTTAGCTACGATCAGGATGGTCATTGTCCTGAAACAATTTGTGAACTGTTTTAGCTGCAAGTGCCTTTGTGAATGTCGCAACATCTGGCAGGCTGAGTTGTCCACAACTTTTTGAGAGCTTCAGAATTTTTTGTTGAACTTTCGGTGTCTTCCCGTCCCATAGGAAGGCTCCAACCGATGGCGCAAGGCGGCTCGCAAAACGTTTAGGTATGAGTGCATTGTGCCCTATATAAAAAGCAGATGTGCATGCTTTGGTTTATACCACTGTCACTTTGGCGTCAAGTGACAAATTGAAGTCGATGGCATACGCAAAGACCTGCATGGCTCTATATACGGCGTCTTCCCAATTTTTTTAGGCCACCTCCCAGTCTTGAAAATATAATCCGACAACTTATACGGCATCCACGTATTGAATACCGCCCGGCAAAGAGCCGTGGAAGCCATCGAAATGAAGGGCTTTGCTTTTCTCCGCATTCAGGAAAGCACCCGATAAACTGGCATACTCTTCGAACAGCTCCAAAAAAGCGTGGTAACTGGCTTGGTTTCGCACGAACACAGAAATGTCTTCCGCATAAGCGGTGATGCTAACTGACCCGAGACCTGTGATTAGAAAGCCCTGAATATTAGGGCATTTTGACACTTTCCTAAGAAGAGGATCTATGGAAAGAACAAAGAGCACCAGTGTGATTTGGCATCTCCGGCGAACACCTCTTGTTACTGGATTGCTTGTTGTCTCCACACCATCGATGAGGAGTCGGTTGGTCATGTTGGTGTATAGAAGCTTTATACAGTGGACGTACGCTCAAGCAAACCAAACATACTGACTAGGCAGTATAGGTAGACATGTTCGACTCTGTCGAAGGCCTTAGCTTGATCCACAGACACGAAAGCACTGGTAACGCTTTTGGCGTTGGCATAGTAAGACCAACTTTGTCAGAGGTAGGTTTGAAAAGGCGGTACCCGCACTGCACACGTTTGTTGGGTGTAACTAATCAGGCAACAAAGGTTTTAGCCTCAAGCAAAGAGAATCGTAGCTCCAAAATTTGTAGTCCGTGTTGTAAGAATGGTTGACGGCCCAAGTGTTCTAGGTAAGAAACAAGAGCAATAGTTTGGAATACAGTACTTGCTGAAATTTCATCCATCAGTATTTCTACAGTTCAAAGCTTTCTTACTATTATTAGCGTTGTCGGTGAGCTGATTACAAAGTTATCTATCACGCTACAATTCGCATGCATGGCGGTAATTTATCGGAGCATAATGCAAAAACAAACAACGCAAAAGACATAACGCGTTCGCAGACTTTTTTAGTGCTCGATGCTATTGTGTGCAGTGTCATAAATTTGAGTTATTGCCTCTATTGAAGAAAACTGAAATGTAATAACTTTGGAGTGACTAGGCGTCCTTTCTTTCTGGTATAACTTCAGAACCCAAGAATTGTGCATGTTAAAGAAACTGCTGCATGGGAAGCAAATAAGCAACGCTGCAGATGCAATAGATATACGCTGTCAGTTGCTTGAATTCCCCTGCGGAAGATGCCGCGATTGCTGAGTAAATGCTGAAAGATTAAGTTTAGTTGTGAAACCAAGGCAAAGTGAATGGTAGTACAATTAAACATCGCTATCTAGTTACAAGTCGTTGTTGGATTAGATGGCGTTAACTTGAAGCGCACTCACGGAGGACTCACCGCTGAACGCTTTAGTGTGATTCCTTAGTGATTAGAGACCCATGAAAAGTAATTTGAGATCAAACTTCATGCTAGTGCGCTAAAAATGGCGTCACTTGTTACCACCTATTGTGTCACATCTGCTTCTTTGTTGTTCCACCGGAAGCGTTCTCACAAAGATAGTACTAAGCCCCGTGATCAGCTGATCAGCCGTCATTTTTCAATGTATAGTTTTCTATGGAGCCTTCGCTACCAGCAGTATCTATACCTTGATTCAACTTGAAACCGCACTGCAGCCGCCGCAGCTCCTGTACGCAGATCGTCTTCTCCAGACAGAAACTTCGTCAAAATAACAGCTTGCGAGGGAAACGAATGCCTTCAACGACTGTTTTTGAGCGCGATTATATAATCTTGTTTTTTTCGCGCCCGATCGACAGGGCCAGAAGATCCCTCGAATGGCCGACGAGTGCACCGAAACCACCAACCGCATTGCGGGTAAGAAAGTGAACCTATGTGTGTTCTTAGTCGTTATCACACTTTACGTCATACGATACTATTTAGTCCAGGTTTTTTTTTTCGATGTTTCAGTAACCGTGCCTTTCTCCAGCATCTACAAGTACAAAGAAAAAGCTTGTGAAACGCTGCGATGTTTCGTCGAGGGTGAGGTGTGTGCGACCCAGGTAACGTTGTTAAAGGCTTGGTCGAGAGAGAGTGAAAAGGAAAGAACGCTTATTTGCACCCACCTATAGGATGACGGGGACGAGGCTTCAGCCTCTGTGCCCGATCATCCTGTTAGCCGTCGGCCGGAATCACTTGAGATTCGGTGGCGGTCAGGGCGAGACTGATGACTTAACATTGTTCTTCACCTTCGTGGCTGTGTGATAAGGCCTCCCAGAGTTCTACGTTTCGACTTGGATCATTTTAGAACGGGCAGGTCAAGATCATGTGCACTAAACTTGCAGTGCTATCACAGTGCGCACATCTTGGGTTAAACACTTCCGCGCACCATTTACTGTGCAGGTGAAGGTTTGGAAACAACCCGATTTGCAATTTTCGCACATAATTTCCTACTTTTTGTTCAGCTGACTAGCTGCCTCTGCGCAAACCTTGCGGTGGAATTTATATAGTGAGGTGATTTTCAAAAACGTTCGTTCTTCGTCTCTTATAGAAAGGGGTTGCTCGAGCGGAGGTGGTGAGTTAGCGTTGATCAACCAGATAGTGAGCCCTCGGGAGATCGTGTGCGCCTTCTCATTCCCCTTCAGACCTTGATGGGCCGGGGAATATATGAATGATATTTGCTCTGCGGACATTGGTCTTTGTTTTAAAAACTTCGCGGCTGTAGCAGAAATCATGCCCATATAACAGTCTGTATTGTCTGACTTAGAGTCGCTAACAATCAATCGTGGGCTTTTTTGTGCTATAGTCAAAGCAATTGCAAGTTTTTCTGCCTGTGTGGTGGTTGTGTTCTCAGAGGTGCAGCACAACATCAGGTCCCCGTTCTCGCGAACCACCACCACTGTGTATGCTCCCCTTCTTTCATATTCTGCAGCATCCATGTAATACACGCCAGATCGACCTTCAAATTTCGACTGCAGGGCTACAGCTCTAGCTTCACTTCCGTCTTCGTAGAACACCGGATGCATGTTTTTTGGCTGAGGTGTAATTTTTAGGCTCATCTTAGTTGATTTAGGTATGTCTGTCTGGAACACTCCGTGGGCTAGAACCCCGAGCGCTCCATGATTTTCCATGCGGTTCTACTGCTCAAAGGCATTCTCTGCTGTGACATTGTGGCAGCTTCTATGTTAGCTCATCTAAATTGTTGTGAACACCCAACCCAAGAAGTTTAACCATATAGGTGTTCGGGGGAAGCGCTATAGTGCAGTTTTGATGCATTTTACTACAATGGCTTCAGTTTTATTTTTCTCTGCTCTAAACAACTTAATATAAAAGGGAATGTATAGTACACGGCTTATCACGAAAGCTTGAACCAATCTTAAAAATTAGCTTCTTTTATCCCCGCATTCTTGTTAGAAATGCGCTTAAGCAGGTGGCATGTCTGGTTCGCACTATAGCTTCGAGTCTTCTGGTAGTTTCAGTGTTTTTTCCATTTGCTTGTGTGCGCATCCCTAGAATTCTAAAACTGTCTACTGTTGGAATAGCGTTGCCACGTACTCATTAAGCTGGGTCACAAGCCCTCCCAAAGGAGTTGTTTGTTTTCTTTTTTTTGTGGCTGTCAATGGTGACCGCATCACCATCGCGGCATCACCATCGTGACCCGCCACACATCTCTGTCGTGGTCGACTGCGACGAAGTGGCGAATGCTCACTTTTTGTGCTAATTACGATGAGGCAATGTCTACGCGTGTAACTTGATATGTGTGAAGCAGGTTGAGGCAATGTCTTCGTGTAACCTAACATAGAAGTTATGTTCACGGCTGATCTGCAGTTGCTGTCGAGCTCACATCACATTTTGCATTGTAATAATATTTCTAAATTAAGAACCAAGTTACAACTTCTAATTAGTTCGAATATTTATTGTTGCCACCATTCTTAAGTTCTAACAAAATCTGCGAGTGCGGCACCGCAAACTTTTCTTATTCGTGTTAACAAAAAGGGATCATAAATATTCTACAGCTTTGAAATTTGTATTCCCATTACACTATAAGATTGCAGGTTGGAGAGGTGAAGTACAAATTTATATTATATGCATAAACTTAAAAAAGCCAATAAAATGACCACATAGCGTAATAACGCAATCGATACGTGCCTTTTAACATTAACATTTAACATTGCACAATACTCACCGCGGAGACAAGCGGCCGATGCAGTTATATCAAGCAAAGTGCTGGGCTTTCAAAATGGTTAAAAGCCACGACGCATGGTGGTTCGAACAGCGCCGGTATCCGCCACACATCAAATAACCGAATTATCTGCTTCTTTTTTAAGCTACATTACGTACGGTGCATTCTATATGGTGCCAGGCCTCAAGAAAAAAAAAGCACCTGATTCCTCAAATTGACCTCACACAAGCGCCGTTCGCAGCGCCGCCATCGGTTGCACGCTAGGCCAATAAAGCCTCTGCACTAGCTCACTCGTTCAGTTGTTCTTCCGTCAGTGATGCCACCCTCGATCTGCTTAATTAGCTTTTATTATATGTAAATAGCACAGTTAGGCCACATGGATCTCATGTATCTCGTGGGGGTCAGCGATGATTAGTCTGAATTAGCCCTACTCAGATTTAGAATAGCTCAATTTTGCATAAAAGGGATGGACTAAGTCAGTAGTAATTAGTATACTCCTAAGTTTGTCTTTGCTAACCTCACTAAAAAGTCCTCTTGAATTTACTGCTTTCAGCAGCCCACACCATTCCTTATAGTTTTCTTGTGTCGCGAGCCGGCCTAACGAAAACAATTGTTGTAACACATTACCACGTGACATGCCCGCTTATGCTCTGTGGTTCAGGTTCTGGCTGACGTTCCACCGACAAACCTACTAGCGATGTGGTCCGTTCACCGCAGCTCACGACAGCTATAAGCCGAATGCGCCTGATATCACCTATGCTTGCTCAAGTAACAGGCGCTCCATTGCACAGCAACCACCGTCATTCCTGCCCTGCTGCCTTTTAAGCAGAAGTTGTCCTGTCCAAACGCTGAATGACTGCACGTAGATCGTTAATGAGCACTGGTATCACGGCGCAACCTTAAAAGTGTTGCTAAACAAGCGCTGTAAGAAAAAATACTTCATCTACATCGACCAAAAATCAGGCGGTCAAAGAAGTCACTCATTCCATCCAAACTCATTTATTGCGAGTGATGCTGTCGTGCACTCGGAGCACTCTTGAAAGCTGCTTATACTGGCATAAGGGTCTACAAGTCTTACCTGTCAACAAGACCAACAGCACGACGGCAGTCAGGATAGCCATGCTGTGTAATTGAAGGAACTCTGTAAAAATCAGATGAACAAGAGACACATATATTTCACTAAACCTAACAACAGATAACAATCTGATAACAATCTCATCACATTTTTTCCTTCGAGCTGTACTGGACATCACTTCGCAGAGAAAGAATAACTTTTATTGAGGAAAATAGAAAGGTTAGGAGCCAGATGGGTGAGATACCAGTGTGGGGTGGCTCCACTTACTTATGCCGCCGGCTGGACGTGGTCCAGAAGCGCTAGCAGCACCTCCGGTTCCGAGCCAGGAAAGAGTGCCTCCTATTGCTCCCAATAGCTATCTATTATATATTTACGCTGCAAGTGACTGAGTTTATTTGTCCCTTCACTGAAACAGCTCAATACACGGCAGCGGGTCGGTGGTTAGTCACGACACTACAGACAATCGTGCCCATATACAGATCGTAAAATTTTGCGCAATCCGAATAAACTTGAATATACCACTGTTTGCTTTATATCGCTGATGAGCGAGAAACTCTCGCGAAGGCATCTGAGCAGTGTCATTGTCTGCCTCCTCGGGAAAAGCGCCGTGTGGACGCTAGAATGGAGGTCACAGGGAGGTAAGGTGCGCCATCAACAATTACTGGGGCATTGAATTGAATACCAAGCATTGGCAAAAGAAAAATGTTGTGATTTTTGTAGCTCTATTGCACCAACGTCATGTCACACTCTTCGTACCAAATGAGACAATCAGATACACAGAACATTTTATTTCTTGACAATATTTATTTATTTATTTATTTATTTCGACATACTGCCAATCCTATTAGGGATTTTAGCAGGAAGGGCGTAAACATAAAAATTCGAATAGGTACACAATAAGGACATACATCGCGATAAAGTACAGAATGAAACTAACAGAATCGGATCATTTAACAATTTCAGATCAAAGAAAGCATAAAACATTAGTGTAAAGAAAAGTTGTGAGAAGAAAATAAATGCAGCGACTTGGTTGACACATTGGTTGACATATTGGCATATGCATCAAGAAACACAACAAGAAATTACAGCAATAAGAAACTACCCTACAATATGGCGAAGTATTTCAAGGAAAGGCAAATTTATACACACTGAAAAACAGAAACATGTTCAAGAATCAACAGAGCGATTTCTCTTCACCTGGATTCAGTACTAAAAATTGCTTAAAGAAAAAATATGATGACATGATACTTCGCTCGTACAATGTTCACACGAACACACTTATTAAAATCAACCAGGTGATTCCGTTTGCATAATACAAAGTTCATTTTCGACAAGGGTTAGAAATTTTGCTAATCCGGTAGTGCTGGAGATACTCGGATCCAGTTTATTCCATTCATTAGTGGCTAACGGAAAGAATGAGTACTTAAAGCAGTTTGTGTTGAAGGAGTATTCGTTAAGTCTCATTGGGTGTTTTTGGCGTGTTGTTCTAGTTTGATCAAACGTAAGATAGGCGGATACATCAATGTTTAAATGACCATGTATTAATTCATGTATGAATTTTGCACGAGCTAACCTTGTTCTATTCATTAGAGTAAGTAATCCAGCTTTTTTCATTAGTTTAGTCGGAGAATCTGTATGTCTGTACTTGTTGTAAATGAACCTCATAGCTTTCCTTTGTATTCCTTCCAGTTTCGTGATTTGCTGTTTTGTGAATGGTGACCAAATAATATTACCGTATTCAAGTAATGATCGCACAAGGGAAGTGTATGCAAGCAGTTTTAGAGAAGGCGGGGCCTGGCGAAACTGGTATCTGAGTGTAAACAAGCGGCGTAGTGCAGCTGAAGTAACGTAACTTATGTGTGCATCCCATCTTAGATCTTCAGTTATAATAATTCCAAGATATTTATGCTGACTTACTCTAGTTATGGGAATGTCATTAATGGTGTAAAGAAAATTTGACCTAGTTTTTTTCGACTTACTGATAAAATTGTACACTTGTTTGCATTAAGTGACATCTGCCATTTACGGCACCAGCAGGAAACATCTTGTAAAGCACTATTTAAAGCTACATGGTCTTCCGTTGAGTTTATTTCTCGATATAGCACGCAGTCATCCGCGAATAATTTGATTTTTTCCTTAATATTTGTAGGCAAATCATTAATAAAGAGAAGAAACAAAATTGGCGCCAGCACACAGCCCTGCGGAACTCCAGATGTGACGGAGGTGGTAGCAGAGGTTTCATCGTTAAATTCCACATACTGTGTACGATCAGTAAGATAATTTTTGATCAAGTTAAGAACAGTAGAATTTCCTAAGGTGGCCTCAAATTTTTGAAGTAGTTTGTTGTGTGATACCTTGTCAAATGCTTTGGCAAAATCGAGGAAGATTAGATCAGTTTGTTTTTGGTTGTCAATACTCTGGGATACCTCGTATGTTAATTCCACTAATTGAGTTATGGTTGAAAGACCTCGGCGAAAGCCATGCTGATAGGGAGATAATATACGTTTTTCTTCTAGGAAAACAGTTATTTGTTTAAGAATTATGTGCTCCAAGATTTTACAGATTGTACATGTCAATATATGCTAAGACGTGAACAAACAGCGTTGTACATGGGACGGTGAAAGAACGACAGGTGAAGGTGCTGCAGTAGTACCCATCAGATTGTTGCTGGTTTATTGGGTACTCGCTCAACAAGTATGCGCATTATCACTTATGATGATGATGATCGTTGATACTCCTGCACACACCCACAAAGGGGGATGGGCCAAGAACCGGGCGGCAGGATCTTAAGTAGAAGGCTTATGGTTTTTCAAAGACAAAGTAGTTTTGGACTGAAAAAAATTATATATAAAGAAAAGCCAGAAATAAAAAAAGGTGTATACATATATATATATATATATATATATATATATATATATATATATATATTGTAGGCATCTATTATGCGCTTCATCCTCATCTGAACAGCAGTCAATCATCATCTGTTCTGGCTGACAATCATCATTGTCTTTGAACGTGCGCTTCATCTTCGGATCCGTTGCTCTTGTTCGTGCCTGAGTTCACGGCCAGTAAACCTCGTTACAACCGAGTCATCATACGTGGTGGAGGTGGATTGACGATCCCAGTACCTCTCCTCACAACGCCTACTCGCTGGAGCTCTGTTCAGGCCGCCGCTTGGACCCCCAGTCCGCCAACATGTCTGAGTCAGTGGGCGGATGCCCTTTCTGCTCCCGTCTCTGCTGCAAGTGACTGAGTTTATTTGTCCATTCACTACAACAGCTCAATACACGGCAGCGGGTCGGTGGTTAGTCACGACACTACGGACAATCGTGCCCATATACAGATCGTAAAATTTTGCGCAATCCGAATAAACTTGGATATACCACTGTTTTCTTTATATCGCTGATGAGTGAGAAGCTCTCGCGAAGGCATCTGAGCAGTGTCATTGTCTGCCTCCTCGGGAAAAGCGCCGTGTGGACGCTAGAATGGAGGTCACAGGGAGGTAAGGTGCGCCATAAACAATTACTGGGGCATTGAATTGAATACCAGGCATTGGCAAAAGAAAAATGTTGTGATTTTTGTAGCTCTATTGCACCAACGTCATGTCACACTCTTCGTACCAAATGAGACAATCAGATACACTGAACATTTTATTTTTTGACAATATATGCTAAACGTGAACAAACAGCGTTGACATGAGACGGTGAAAGGACGACAGGTGAAGGTGCTGCAGTAGTACCCATCAGATTGTTGCTGGTTTATTGGGTACTCGCTCAACAAGTATGCGCATTATCACTTATGATGAAGATGATCGTTGATACTCCTGTATACACCCACAAAGGGGGATGGGTCAAGAACCGGGCGGCAGGATCTTAAGTAAAAGGCTTATGGTTTTTCAAAGACAAAGTAGTTTTGGACTGAAAAAAATTATATATAAAGAAAAGCCAGAAATAAAAAAAGTTGTATATATATATATATATATTTATATTGTAGGCATCTATTATGCGCTTCATCCTCATCTGAACAGCAGTCAATCATCATCATCTGTTCTGGCTGACAATCATCATTGTCTTTGAACGTGCGCTTCATCTTCGGATCCGTTGCTCTTGTTCGTGCCCGAGTTCATGGCCAATAAACCTCGTTACAACCGAGTCATCATACGTGGTGGAGGTGGATTGACAATCCCAGTACTTCTCCTCACAATGCCTACTCGCTGGAGCTCTGTTCAGGCTGCCGCTTGGACCCCCAGTCCGCCAACATGTCTCAGAGTCAGTGGGCGGATGCCCTTTCTGCTCCCGTCTCTGCGCCCCAAGCCCCTCCTCTCTACATCGTAAACCACCAGCGTGACCCTCCGATCTTCGCTGGTCTCCGCGGCGGAAATGTGGAGGACTGGCTCGATAACTACGAGCGAGTGAGCGCAACTAATCACTGGGACGACTGTAACAAGCTTCGCCGAGTAACGCTTTATCTCACGGGCGTTGCGAAGACATGGTTCTTGAACTATGAGATCGACCTCACCGACTGGCCTGCCTTGAAGCAGCAGTTTCGCCAAGTATTCGGCACGCCAGCCGTTCGATCCACTCTAGCGAGGAGGGCCCTAGATACTCGCCAAGAACATCCCGGCAAGTCATACACATCTGACATCGAGGATGTCCTTGCGCTTTGCCGGTGCGTCAATTCTTCGATGTCCGAGTCGGGCAAACTGCGCCACATCCTGAAGGGCATCGGAAACATTGCCTACAATGCCCTTGTTGCCCAGAATCCTTCTATTGTCGCTTACGTCGTCTCTACGTGTCAGCGTCTCGACGAACTTGTTTCTGTTCGCCTTCAGTCGGGCAATAGTGAACACCGTACAGCAGACCGGGACCTGCATGACATGATACGGGGGATCATATGCGAAGAACTCCAATCGATGGGCATCTTACCACCTTCTTCATCTGTCACACAGCCTTCAAGCATGGCCCTGCGTGATATCGTAAGGGAGGAACTAACATCATTCACCGGTCCAGCCTACGTACAGCCACCTCCGTCTAGCCCTCCAACGTACGCGCAAGTTGCGGCCGCGC